GTGAAACACATTGCCAGACACAGCCAGCAGCAGCCAGCACTCACTACTTATGTTTTGTTTTCAAACCTCATCTTCTCGAGCTACAAATCTATTAGGTTTATAATCTACCTCCCAAGTAATCTCAGACAAGTCTTACTAAGTGTCTTGCCACTTTGTAACGTGAATTCCCATTCTTGTAGCTTTCAATATCAATTCCTACTGCCTACCAGTAAGCCAAGGACTCAGATTTTAGGTTTTTGTTGGAACCCTATTTCTATTACCAATATCTCCATCCATTAGCATAGGCTACATTATGCTGCCTGTCACAGTCCTGTTTACTTCTTGCTCATGCTACATGCCAGGGTTTGTCATCAGGGGCTCTGTTCTACGTGGGCACTCAGGGACCCGGGTTGACAGAGGCCCCATCATCTTCTGTCTGGCTTATTGTAGCACACCACCCCCAAACCTAGAGGCTTGCAACAACGGTGATTCAGAGGGTTTGGTTGGGTGATTTTTCTGCGTGAGCCTGGGATCACTCATGCAGCTGCATTCAGGTAGAGGGCTGGCTATGGATGAGTTCAGCTGGGAAGTCTGGGCAGCTCTCTTACCACGTGGTCTTTCCTCCATAGGGAGGCTAAACCAGGCTTTCTCACATGGTTGGCAAGAGGGCAAACCCAAAAAGCAAACCTTATCATGCTTCCTCTTGAAGGAAATGGACACAAAACTGTTGCCCTCATGAACTTATACAGAGACCATGATGGTTAACACCCTGAGAGGGAGAAACATTTTATACATCTCTGCCTTGGAACTTTTAGCTCTTATCTCATTATTTGTGTACTTGGCTTGTGTACTTGTGTACCCAGGCTGGGAGCAACTTGAGGGCATGACTTCTTCTCAGTGCCTACCGCAGTGAGGAGCTCCTTTAGGCTCACCTTAAATATCCAATAATTGATTGAATGATTAAATGATCAAACCATTAGACCAAAACAAGAATTTATTTTAATTTCTGGGGGACCTGGCACTAACTCCTCTGGCACTTGGGTTCCCAACTCTCTAATCCCTAGAGCTCACATTGTACAAAATGCTTGGTGTTGCAGGTTATTTCTCTACATGTGAAAGGAGACAAGAATAGGCTACAAGAATTAAAGTCTGCGTTTCTTCCGTTCTAGTGATGAGTAAAAGGGACACGCAGCAATATTTCTGTCCAGGGTCCAGGTTTTTGGCTGGAAGGCGTACCTTAAAGGTTTAGGTTAATTTGCTTACTTTCAGAGTTCCCTGGGCAGTTAACAGAAACCATCAGCTTGCCTGAACCTTATCTTAGGAAGTACACGTATCCTCACTTCAAAACGCCTGCCGATTGCTTTGAGAATGAGCAGAGCAATAAGTACTTTCCTCTTCTGATTCCCTCCTTCCCTCCTTTGAGGGGTAGTAGTTCTGGTTTCTAACACTCTCTGCTAAAACCCTGGGGGTATGCCCTGAAGTTATGGACAGTCCTTGAGAGGAAGGAATACACATGGGAGCACTGGACCTTAAAAAGGTTTGTGTCAAATGAATAATCCCATGTCTGTAAGCCTGGAAGAAAGCAGTTGACTTACTTTACATATCATACAAAATAATAGCTTTTATAAATGTGACTGTCTCTCAAAGAATATCTGTTTGTTTTAGATTCATGAGCTGAGCCATTTTTTAGGTTGGCTGCATTCCACCTTTTATCATAGTCAAGTTCAGTTTTTATCTTGGAACAAAAAAGGGCAAACTCAGGATACAGAGTCTTTTGAAACAGATATTTTTGCAAAACAGTCCATTTGGGAAATATATCCATAGAGAATACAAACTGACTCCACTCCTGCCCTCAAGAAGTTGAGAATCTGGTGATTGAGTCTATGGTATAAACCAGTGACTGTAATACAAGCAATAAGATTTGTGATCAAACAGAAGTATGGTTAAAGTGTTTTAGGAATGTAGGAGTAGGTATCAGTCTGAGGAAAGGAATGGAAAAATTAGAGAATACCTTCCTGGAATAAGGTGTCCTTACCCTATATGTGCAAAGATACACAGAATTTGGAAAGGATTTGCATGGGGGGACAGCGCGTTGTCCGCACAGAGGGTGCTGAGGGGCATTCAGGGACCTAACTAAGCTAGAGCAGTGGCCATAGAATGAAAAAGAAGCCTAGGGCAAGAGTCGGCAGAGCAGGAGATGAAAGTAGGGAGGAGGCCGAGGTGACCTCCAGGTGCCCTGGATGCTCAGGATTTCTGAAGGAGGAGCCGTTGTACAAGAAAAAGCCCAGTAACCTTGAAGTCACTTCCAAGGGTGAGAATCACAGACTCCTGTGGTTCTGTGTACACTCTTTCTGGTACCTCTTCATTTGGTCAAAATTAGAACACATTCATTACATGCCAGGCAGATACCTAGCTTTGTTCCTTCATCCAGGAATTTTCAGTCTTTCTTCTTCTATTTGCGGTTCTAACAATAATAAAGGGTCTAGACTTGGACTGAATTGATATTGCAAATCATCAGTATCAACATTCCCAAACACAAGGAGGTTCTTGCCCTTACCCTCAGGTAATGCTGGCAGTGAACATGATGTTCTCAGAGTTGTTTTTCAAATAGTTCTGATTTCAAATATTTATCCATTTAAGCAACGTTGGTATTTAATTCTGAAAGGACATCCGTTCTGCTGGCCTGGCACCTGGCTTCGGAGATAGAACTTTTTTTTTAAGTCTTAGTCCACCTTCTCATGGAAGAAAAATTAATTTTAACTCCAAGCAAATCAAGTTATCTGACATTCTTGTTACAAGTTATGTGAGGGACCTTGAGGGGACTATAGCATGTCTTGTTGTTGGGTTTTCGGGTATGTTTTTGTGTCCCCAGCGTAAAAGGGCATCATTATGGTAGTAAGTCAAAACTCAAGAGCCTGAAAGTTTTTTGCACATTGCATTTCAATTCCTGTGTTTTAGGGGGTTTTTTTTCCCACAGAGATTCATACGCACACATAAAGGTGGCCCATGGCTGGTCTCCAGCCCATACAGAGTTATTTGTCAATTCCAGAGAAGCAGAGAATGAAGACACTCATGCCCTCTCATCCATCTTTTTTTTTTTTTCTATGAACCTTATAGCTGGATATTGAAAAATCTGGATTTGATTCTTTTTTTTTCATTTCAAGTCAGCTGAACAGCCTGTACACATGGATATAAAGAAATATAACCAGGAAGTGTTTGTGGTATTGAATCAGAACTTAAGACATTTGAAGCCTCTAAGAGTTTTATAGTGTCTGGCCTTACATTTAGGTCTTTAATCCATTTTGAGTTTATTTTTGTGTATGGTGTTTTAGGGAGTGTTCTAATTTCATTCTTTCACATGTAGCTGTCCAGTTTTCCCAGCACCCTTATTGAACAGGCTGTCTTTCCTCCATTGTATATTCTTGCCTCCATTGTCATAGATTAGGTGACCATAGGTGCGTGGGTTTATCTCTGGGCTTTCTATCCTGTTCCATTGATCTATATTTCTGTTTTTGTGCCAGTACCATACTGACTTGATTACTGTAGATTTGTAGTATAGTCTGAAGTCAGGGAGCCTGATTCCTCCAGCTCCGTTTTTCTTTCTCAAGATTGCTTTGGCTATTAGGGGTCTTTTGTGTTTCCATACAAATTGTAAAATTTTTTGTTCTGTTTCTGTGAAAAAATGCCATTGGTAGTTTGATACAGATTGCATAAACATAGGCAGAACACTCTTTGACATAAATCGCAGCAAGATCTTTTTTGACCCTCCTAGAATAATGAAAATAAAAACAAAAGTAAGCAAATGGGACATAATGAAACTTAAAAGCTTTTGCACAGCAAAGGAAACCATAAACATGACGAAAAGACAGCCCTCAGAATGGGAGAAAATATTTGCAAACGAGGCAACTGACAAAGGATTAATCTCCAAAATTTACAAGCAGCTCAATATCAAAACAACAAACAAAACAATCAAAAACTGGGCAGAAGACCTAAATAGACTTCTCCAAAGAGGACATACAGATGGCCAAGAAGCACATGAAAAGATGTGCAAAATCACTAATTATTAGAGAAATGCAAATCAAAACTACCATGAGGTGTCACCTCACACCAAAGTGACCATCATCAAAAAATCTACAAACAGTAAATGCTGGAGAGGGTGTGGAGAAAAGGGAACCCTCTTGCACTTTTAGTGGGAATGTAGATTTTGATACAACCACTGTGGTGAACAGTATGGAGGTTCCTTAAGAAACTAAAACTAGGACTACCAAATGATCCAGCAATCCCACTACTGGGCATATACCCAGAGAAAACCATAATTCAGAAAGACACATGCACCCCAGTGTTCATTGCAGCGCTATTTACAGTAGCCAGGGTGTGGAAGCAACCTAAATGTCCATCAACAGAGGAATGGATAAAGAAGATGTGGTACATATATACAATGGAATATTACTTGGCCATAAAAAGGAACAAAATTGGGTCATTTGTAGAGACATGGATGGACCTAGAGTCTGTCATACAGAGTGAAGTAAGTCAGAAAGCGAAAAACAAATATCGTATATTAATGCATATATGTGGAATCTAGAAAAATGGTATAAATGATCTTATTGGCAAAGCAGAAACAGAGACACAGACATAGATAACAAATATATGTACACCAAGGGGGGAAAGAGGGGGGTGGGATGAATTGGGAGATGGGGATTGACATATATACACTATTGATACTATGTATAAAATGGATAACTAATGAGAATGTACTATATATAGCACTAATGAGAACATACTATATATAGCACAGGGAACTCTAGTCAATGCTCTGATGTGACTTAAATGGGAAGGAAATCCAAAAAAGAGGGGATATATGTATACATATAGCTGATTCACTTTGCTGTACAGTAGAAACTAACACAATGTTGTAAAGCAGCTATACTCCAATAAAATTTTTTTAAAAAAAGGACATTTGAAGCCATTTCAATAGTGTTTCTTATTGCTTTTCAATCTGATTTTGAGTATTCTTTTTGCAGGTTGTGTTCCTGACTGGCTTTGGCTGTGTGTATGTGGACACTGTCCATCAGTGTGGCACAGTCTTCATCACTGTGGCCCCAGAAGGAAAAGCTGGACCTATTTTAACTAATACCAACAGGTAGGCTTAATTAGTATCCCAGTATCAGCAGGGTACGTTTCCCGTTATAAAGTTGTAAACCTACTATTTGCCATTCTTTGTCATCCAAATATATACATTAAAGCTTTTGGTTAATTATTGTATAATCCATAAGGGTATGGTTATTAGCATTGAATTACACCCATAATAAGGAGCAATATATCATCTTCGCTGGGTACCCCTTCCAGTTCTTCTGTGGTGAGTTTAACAAGCTGATTTACAAACTAAGACATGCATCTTAGAATTATACATTATCATTAGCATGAAATGAAAATTAATACTTCTCTATCCACATGACCACCTAGTAATTAGTAATTAGACTTAGCTAACAGCAAAAATAAAGTCACCTCTTAGAGCCACATTTTCCCACGTTCGATCTGAGTGTTGCCATCAGGTTTTACAAATATGAACCAGAGTTATTATCCTTAATTTAAAGGAACTCATATAATTCAGTAGGAATAATATGAAGATAGTCCCTCCTTCCAAAAATTAAACAAGGGCAAACGACAGAAAATTCTAGGAAGAGGAAACACAAGTAATCAAAGAAATGCAAATTTAAATAAGATATTACTTACTGAATTAACAATGATGTTCCATCATATACAGTCCTAGTAAAAGTGTAAATTGTTACTATTTTCTGGAAAGCACTTTAGTAATATGTATCAAGAGCTTTAAAATCCCTCTGGCTTGGAAATTCCACTTTTAACAGTTTTAAGAGCTTGCGATAAGCAATAATTAGAGAAGTAGGAAAAGGTACGCAGAGAGATTTTATCACATTGCTAATTATAATGGCAAAATATTCAGAGTACAAACCCCATCAGCAGAGGAATAGATGATACATAAATGTACCATAAATAGTATATCCACAGAAAAGAGACTTATAGGATTTTAGTGGAAGAGAAAAATACATATGATGACTTAAATAAAGCAAACAGAATATAAAATTGAACATATAAATATCCTAGTTATGTGCACATTACAAGTACATATATGCACACACATTCTCACACATACTCAAGGAAAACATTCCTAGAAATAACACTGAAAAGAAAAGAATCAAAACTGTTAATAGATGTGCGGTTATAAGTGATTATTTAATAATTTTCTGTATTTTAATTTTCTACACGGAGAATGTACTTTATAATCAGAAAATTTTTAATTTTTTAAATTTTTATTTAAAATATGAAATAGTAATATCAACTTTTATACATTTGTTTAAGCTCCTTTTTTTAAATTTCCTTGCTTTTCATATATGGTTAAGAACTGATTAATTTGGACCTTGCCAAGTTATCATTAATTTGAATTTATAATATTTCAAACAGGTTGGGTAGACTGTTTGCTTTGCCCAGTAGTGTTTGTTAAAAAATTAATAGTGTAACAAAACTGGAGACTAAATTTTGACTTGCATAACCCAAAATTTCCAGCCCACATGACAATTTCAGGAACGTTTTATCTAGGGCATTAGGAGGCCATTGTTTATGACAGTAGCAACAATCCATACATTCAGTGGTAGAAATAGGAAAGGAACAAGTATTTGCTTGTATTTCCTTAATTCATTTGTTCCGCAAATATTTTTCAAGTGCTTACTGGATGCCGGTGCTATTGTAGGGATGAGGATATACCAGTGACCTAAAAGCCCCAAATCCCTGCTCCCGAGGAGATCACATTCTCATAGGCGGGGAAAGGGAGGACAGAGAATAAACATAATAAAAAAGGAAATTTTATGGTTCAACAGAAAGTTGGAGTTCTGCAGGGATAAAAACAGAGCCTGGGAAGGACTAGTAGTACCTGGGCACAGGGACAGAGAGAGTGTAGTTTTGAAAAATTGATGTAGGTAAGCCTCACCAAGAAGTTAACATTTGAGCAACTTGAAAGCAGCGAGGGGGTTAGTGATGTGGTCATCTGGGGTGAGCTTTCCAGACAAAGGGCACAGCCAGTTCAAAGGTCGGAAGCAGTGTGCCTGGCATGTTGGAGGAGCACGGAACAGGCCAGTGCAGGCCAAGTGTGGAGGGTGAACAGGAAGGCACTAGTGCCTGGGGTCAGGGAGGGAAGAGCTAGAAGGAGGGGACACGTCGTGTAGGGCTTCATTTTAATTCTGAGTGAAACCAGGAATTCATTGGAGCTTTTTGAGCAGAGAAGTTACATGATGTGACCTAAATTTTTAGAAGGCCATTGGTAGCTTTATTTTTTAAGTTTACTGAAGTATAGTTGATTTACAGTGTTACAGTGTTACAACGTTAATTTCTTCTGTACTGCAAAGTGACTCAGCTATACACATATATTCTTTTTCATAGTCTTTTGCATTATGGTTTGTCACAGAATATTGAATATAGTTCCCTGTGCTTTTGCAGTAGACTATAGAGAAGCACAGGAGGAAGCAGGGAGACTGGTCAGGAGACTATTACAGTCATTCACTCTAGAGGTGGTGATGGCTTAGGCTACACTGTCAGGGGAAGTGGTAAGAATGGTCAGATTCGGGATGTATTTTAAGGAAAAGCCAATGGGATTTCCCTGATACGTTGGATAAGGGTTGAAAATAGAGGCATCAAGGAGGACTCCAAAATTTTTGGTCTGAGCAGCTGGTAGGATGTGGTTGTCGTGAACTAAGATGAGAACGACTGCATGTGGGACTGGGGGTGAGATCAAGAGTTTGACTACAGACGTGACCACTTGAGTTGTCTTTTGAGACCTGTAAGTCACTACTATGTGGATGGGCAGTTAGAAATACAAGATCAGAGTTCACAGGGAGTTCTAGGCTGAATATGTGACTTTGGAAGTCATCAGCATATAGATGCACATCAAATCATAGGCCTGGATGAAGATCTCCAAGGGGAGTGAGTGGAGATGGGAAGAGAAGAGGACCAAGGGCTCAACGTTGGGCACCTTAACTTTAAGAGGAGGGTGTCGCATAGGAGATGAGTGACCAGACATACAAGAGCTGAGAGCAGACATGCAAAGAAAGTTTTTCCAGAAGGAGGAAGTTATCGACCCCGTCAAATGCCACTGTAGGGTGAATGAGTCACAAACTAAATGCCATCCTTTGATTTAGCCACCTGGAAGTCCCTTGGGGGCCTTGACGAGACTTGCTTTGGTAGACTAGTGGGGACAAAGGCCTGCCTGGAGCACGGTGAAGAGAAAATGGAAAGTGAGGAATAGCAGACAAGGTGTATATGCTTTGGAGTTTTTATGTAAAGAGGATCAGGAAAATGAGTAATAGCTAGAGCGGGAGATAGAGTTACAAGAGGGATTTTTTTAAGACAAGAGAAATAAGAGCATGTTTATAAGCTGCTAGTAGTGAAGAAAAAACGATACAGGAAAGGGGTGAATTTCTGGAGAGATGACCTTGACGGGAGTGAGAGCCCAGTGGTTGAGCACACGTTAGAGGGGTTCGCGGAGATGGGAGCATGGGCAGCTCAGCTCTAAACGTGGCGGGGGGAGCAGAGCACATGGCCTAAGACGCTGGTAGCTGGGCTGTTGTGGTGTGGGTTCCTGGTGAGTTTTCTTCTGCTTGCTGTACTTTTCCAGTGTAAGGCATCTTGGTTATTTTATTATGACTTTCTGCTTTGTGATGATCATGACAGAGAATTAGTGCACAAAGAGCTAGAGGGATTTGAGAATAAAAAAATCTGGTGTTGATAAGGGAAACATGATACAGCAACACGACAAGAACTTGTAATAGTCCCTTTGGGAACATTTCCCAATACTGTTGGAGTATGACCGGCTCTGTCCAGACACGATGTACTGAAAGTTGAGTTCTTATTTGTTTCTTATGAGAATCTGATGGGACATCAGGAGGTGTTTAATAAGGCACTATCATTAAAAACTAAGACATTAAGGAGGAAAGGGAGGGAGGAAAAGAAAAGCAGAGGAGGCTCATGTTCTTTTCCCTTTCTCCTGTAGAACTCTGGAGAAGATTGTGACATTTAAAATGTCCATCACTCAGTTGAGCCTGGCGGTGCTTGATGACCTCACCCGCCACAGAGTATCATCTGAGCTCCTGAGACTCACACTGGACAACGTTTTTCTCCAAATAGCCCCGGTGGCTGGTCACGTCCCTGGGGAAGAGACGGCCACCGCCCTCTTTCACCTTTACTGTGTGGAGGTCTGCTGTAGGGACCTGCAGTTGGACAACCAGCTATATAACAAGTCCAATTTCCACTTCGCTGTCTTGGTCTGCCAGGGGGAGAAAACAGAATCTATTCAGTGTTCCAAGATGCAGAGTCTCGTTACGTCCAGCAAAGATTTGGAAGAATACAAGAAAAACTGTTTTATCAAACTTTGCCTCACCTTCACTGAGGGCAAGAGCTTCTTATCTGATATTAACGAGTTCAGTTTTGAATTGAAACCTGCCCGCTTATATGTGGAAGATACATTTGTGTACTACATCAAAACTTTGTTTGAGACCTACCTTCCTAGCAGCAGCCCAGCCGGTCACCCCACGGTCTTTGCAGATGGGAAACAGGTGTTGCCCGTGCAGGTCAGGCAGCACGCCAGGGCCCTGGTGCATCCTGTGAAGTTACGGAAGCTGGTGATACAGCCGGTGAATCTCCTCGTCAGCATCCACGCTTCCCTCAAGCTGTACATAGCCTCCGACCACACCCCGCTCTCCTTCTCAGTGTTTGAAAGAGGCCCCATCTTCACCACGGCCAGGCAGCTCGTCCACGCCCTGGCCATGCACTACGCCGCGGGGGCTCTCTTCAGAGCAGGTGAGGACACAGCCCAGGGGCCACGATGAGCTGGAACGTGAGCAGAAAGGAAAGGCTTTGGGGTGGACTTACTGACTTCAAGACATAGGGAAGCAGCTTGGTGGGAGGTGAAGAGCACAGCCTTTGCAGTTAGATAGTAATGGATTTGAATCCAGACTCTTCCACTGCTGGCTGTGAGGCCTTGGGCAAGTTATTGAACCTCCCATGTCTCAGTTTCCTCATCCATAAAATGGGTTTTAAGATTTTTGACAGGAAAAAGTGAAAGTATGTAAAGTACCCTGAATTTTGGTTGGCACTTAATGAACACTCAAGCAGTAGTAGCTGTTATATTTGCTGTTATATATATAACAGAATTTTAATCCCATTTAGCAAATGCTTTTTCAGCTCCTTGCAGGCACAAGACTCTATGTTAGGGCACTAGTGCGGCCAGAAAAACCAGCCCAGGCCCTCAGGTCCTGGGCCTAAAAGAAGTCCAGTTCTGGGCTGTTAGCGTTCTTCATTACAGTCCATGAATAGCTCCAGATGAGAAATTCAGAGGATTTGTGTGCTCGTCAGAGGCATGAAGAGCCTTCTACCTACCCAGCGCAGCCCTGCCTGTCTAGACAGATGGCAAAGAGACGGCTGTAGGCATCTCAGCCTCTCCACAGACCTGAGCCCGGGGCGGGGGGAGTCCGCAGGGGGTGCTTTGAATATGTGTACAAAATGTTGCATGGGGAGCACTGTGCACTGAAGGTGCTTTGGAGACCAAGTTGTCTCCTGATACCCTATGGTAATTGGCTTCAGAACACGCCTTCTTGACCTAAGTTCACTCTAAAGTGGTTTCAGTCTGATAATCTGGCTCCTCGCGTTCCCATGCATTCAAGCAACTGACACCAAACAACCAGAGTGGGTCTTGCAGCCCCTTCTGGTAAAGAGCACGGAGGTCTTCCTTTCTGAAAGTAACAAAGGAGAGACCTTGGTAATGTTGTACTTGGTGGGTACATTCCCATATAAGGTAACGTTGTAGCAGTGACTGACCCAAAGTAGTTGCCCTACTGGTAAGATAGCATTTTCTCCATAATGGAATTCATAGAGTTAGAGCGCTACCCAGAACTCTCAACTGAAAAGAACAAGATCAGGGAAGGTCCCTGCCTGGGAACTGTTGTTTTGATAGCTTGTACAACAATAAGAAAATATTTCCCTCTTGCTAAGATATTATTTAAAAATGAGCAGCTACGATTTCAAATTTAATAGACGGGTATATTGAAAACCTACTCTTTCAGGCAGTTTTTGTTTTTAACCTAAAGCATGCCTGTAGGTTACTGAACTCTGCTCTGGAGCCTGGGAAGGAATAAGCTTCCCGTCCGTCTGGTCATCACATTAGGCTGAGGTGTGGGGAGCGCCCATCAGAGTAAAGAGCTGGCAGAGAGACTCCAACTGTGACCACCAAGGAACCACGTCCCTGCGGCCTATGTGCTAAAAATGATCTCTCTTTGTTTTGTTTTTCATGAGCTTTCACAAGAACATTCTGTTTGGATTTTTTGTAATCCACCTAAAAGTTCTCTAAGCTGTTGTCCCAATCTCATTATATGCTGAGACAAGAAATTCTGAAATAGAGGGCCAAGTTTTTAGGTCTGCTGGGAATTCTGTCACTGAAGGCCTGCAGAGTATCTGAAGATTATCTGGAGGAAAGCAGTGATTTTTGAAAGAGTTGGAAATGGGAAGATGGTAGGAGGTTGCCCCTGGGTAGAAGCATCTTAAAGAGAATGTACTGGCATTCTAGTAGAGGAAAGGAAAGGTCTGGCCTGGGAGTGGACAAGTTGCCTCTGCATCTCACATGGGTCAGTATTCACTCATTGGACTTGATTAAAAGGTCCCTCATGGGGATGACTGAAATACCCTGGCCTCATTTCTAGGGAAGGACTTGTAGAGGTTTTAACAGTAAAGTAATTAGAAATGAGTAACAACTGACCCTATTTGAAGAAAAGAATGTGGGCTCTGTAATTTCCTGGGGTCCCTCTCTACCTCCAAGGCTCAGTTTGATGGGAAGCCAGACAGGCACTTGTTTTCAACAAAAGTCTGGCAACAAGTAAGAAAAAGATACATGTGCTTTTGGAGGGAAATAAGAAGGAATGCCCTCAGATGCTTTGGTCCTTTTCTGGCCATCTCAGATGCCACTGAGAAGTAGCTCTGGTCCACACATAGCCTTCCCATCAGCAGTGAACCTAACCCAGGAGAGTCTCCCTCACTGTCCCGTACCCGCTGAGCGGGCGGCTCCTGGCAAGCCCCAGCTCAAGTAGGAAACCGGATCCAAAGCTTGCCTCCTGGGACGTTCGCAGGGAACACGCCCCTCTCGCTAACCTAATCAGCATGTCCCTGTCACCAGAGTTTACACAACTGAAGCTGGGCTCGAAGGGGAAACATTTCTCTGGCTCCAGCTCCACTCCAAAGGGAAGCACTCTTCCTTTGGTAGGATTGGGAAAGATTAAAAATAACTTCCTCCATCCTCGTCAGAACTGTGCATCCCCTTTGCAACACCCCTTTTAGCATCTGGCCTCCTCCCCTGACCAGGCATCTCCTCCTCATCCTGGTGCCTCCGCTGCCCAAGGAGGTTTTAAGGATAACTTCCCAGCCTGCGAACACCTGCAGCCCCAGGGACTGCCTTTCCTCGGGGGCAGGAGCATCGTCCCCTGCACACGGGTCCCTTTTAGCAGGAATACGGGAGGCTTGGGCAGGGAAGTCATATTAAAGCTATTTGTGAGGCCGCCAAAAGGATCACTTTGATTTATAAAGTATGAAAGTTTGCCATTTATGAATTCACAGTGAATGAGTTATTTCCCATATTTTGCTCCAAAGGAGCTTATTACATTCTCCATTCTAGTGTGAAAAATGAATTGCAGGGAAAATGGGTCACTTGTCCCATATGTTGAAAGTGCTGTGTTTAAGATTTCAGTAACCCCTTCCCTTTGGTCCCTCACAGGCTGGGTGGTTGGATCCCTGGAAATCCTTGGCAGCCCAGCAAGTTTGGTGCGAAGCATCGGGAATGGCATTGCCGACTTCTTCAGGCTTCCGTACGAGGGGCTGACCCGAGGCCCGGGAGCCTTTGTGAGCGGAGTTTCCAGAGGGACGACATCATTTGTGAAGCACATTTCCAAAGGTAGCTATTCGGGTTCCTTGTAATGAGGCCTTATTTTCATTCCTTCCCTCTCTTATTTTTTATTTTAAAAGAACGTGTTAAAAGTTTTCAGTGAATTAAGTTTGCCTCTAACTTTGTTTGGCTTGTTAGCTGGCAGTGAAGTGTTGGATCTGTAACAAAGCTCATATATAATGTCTTATGTTTTAAACAGATCACTGCTTGCCTGTAGTGTGTGAAAATGTTTCAGAAACTTCAGAATTTGAAACCTCCCAATGGGAAAACAAGGATTGGCTGAACTGTTATTCCATGTGATAAATACAGAAATATTAAAGGTGTTCAGGACTTCTGCTAAACATCAGAAATCCTACACTGTGTTGCCTCATCATATTTTTTTAAATGTAGATACAGTTGTCATAACTTTTGTAAGGCTATGGATACATTTTGACGTGGAAGCCGATTGGGAGGTGAAAGAGCCAGCTTTTCCCTAGCACGCCACGTAAACAGTGCCACCTTGTGGCCCAGACGGGTCATCGGGCGCAGAAACCAAACTGCCGCCCACAAGAAGGAGAGCGTGCTTTCCTTTCATCCGTGTGTTTGTTTGCCCGTATTTTGGTCAGGTTGGCAGTGACTCGGGAACTAACAAGGGCCATCTGAGTCCCCGTTTCTTCTCAGCAGGAGGCAGGGGAAACAGGGCAAAAGCCTCCTCCCCCATAAAAGGCTTTTTACTGTCAACAGTACTGCAACTCTGTTATGAGTGGGCAGGTTACAGAAGTCTCTAGAAGGCCTCAAACAAGACTTGAGCTCGAAATATGAGAACCCATGATCCATAGAGGGGGACTGGCAAGAGAACAACAAGAGCAATAAACCAAATTCCATGGACAATCACGGGACCACTCCCCCGGGGCCCCGGTCATCCGGGAGGCCTGTGAGCCAAGCTGCAGGAACTCACAGATGAGTCACTGGTGGATTTCTCACTCTTGACACTTGAATCTTTGAGGTTCTGTTGTTTTTATTTTAAAATAAGACAACCAACACTTGCTAAATTGCACTCCGGCAGTAATTTTAGCATAGTGACTCACTGAATGTTTTTTACACTTGTTCTCTCCTTCTCTTAGGAAAATCTGTTTGGTTTGTCTGTGTGTGTGTACGTGGATTTTTTCTTTTCAGATGACTGGTTAAGATGCAGCTGCAAAAACAACATCTTCCATTTCTTCTGAAAACTAGACATCCAATAACAGATGAACTAATTCATTAGCTTCAGGATATGTCCGTTGATGTCTTTCAGTTTTGCTCACTGGGGTCTATGCAGACTTGCTAGAGGGGATTATGACTGTCTTGAGCAAGATGCAGAAATAGCCTTTCTTGGGAAAACCAGACGGAATCGTGGCTTTCACATGCTTTACTCCCTTTGATGTCCTCACTTTTTTTCAGCTAACACCCTGAATATCAAAATCACACATATTCTCTGTGGCATAATAATTATTTCCTGACTGTCAAATGATAAAAGTTTAGTGTCTTCCTCTACTATGACTAAAGTAATAGGGGGAAATAAATTTTATTCCTAAAGTAGAAACATTCCTTTGCGATCTATTTAAAATTCAGCAACATAACCTTACCCTTTCAAATCAGAGCAGGCAAATTGCAACCTTCAAAACTGGACCTCAGTGAGGACTTCAAAACTAACTATTTTAGCCAAGTCCTAACAGTCAAATGAAAGTGCATGATAGCTTCCTATGAGGCCGTGGGCATTTTTCTGGTAACGGAGATTCTAATTCTACCCCCTGTGAGGAGTGCCATCACCCCTGTCAGCAAGTGTTCATCTTCACCTCATTGTCTTAAGGCTGCTTCTTCAAACTGACCGAGGGGAAGCCACCATCACTCTCCATGGGCGAGTCCAGAAGGCGGATGTGCTTCCACCTCCCTCTCCCATCCCCCACAGTGCTCCAGGGACCACTCCCCTAGGGGCCACCAGCTATGCGACCAGGAGACCAACCCACGTGCTCTTGTGCCCTCAGGTACCCTCACCTCCATCACCAACCTGGCCACGAGCCTGGCCCGGAACATGGACCGGCTCTCACTGGATGAGGAGCACTACAACCGGCAGGAGGAGTGGCGGCGGCAGCTCCCGGAGAGCCTCGGCGAGGGGCTCCGGCAGGGCCTGTCCCGGCTGGGCATCAGCCTGCTCGGTAAGGGGTCGCCAGGGACTGGGGCCCAGGACTTTCCACGGGCTGGTTGTGGACTGTCCATCTTTCTGCAGAGATGCTGAGGCTCAGAGAGGCCAAGGCACGCATTCTGGTTCCTATCCTGGCCAGCAGGGTTCTGGAACAGGCACCCTCTCCAGAGCCCTTGTGCGGCTGCGCAGGGCCATCCTGGGACCTGGCCGCTCCCCGCTCCCCACCGGTCGCGTTCCCACCTTCCCTCGCCTCTGGTGGGAGATGCCTCTCTGCGTCCTCGCGGCTTCCGTAAGACATCATTCACTCCGTAGGGCCCCGCGCGCGGGGTGTCAACACAAGGAAGGCAGCCCACAGCTGCATGCTTGCTGAAGGGAGCAACGGGCAAACCTCCTGAAGCGCTTGCTGCCTCTCTGCCACAGATACTGCAAACGCCTGCTTTTGTTTGGGAAGCACTTGAGCAATGTGCAAATGTCATGTAAACTTCAGTGAGGAGCCCACTTTTCCGTTTTATTTTTTTAAGAATGCCAGATCTGCCTGACTCCAAGTAATTGCCGTTTGTCAAGCAGCCAGATGGTATAGCTAGAGATGAAGATTGCTAGGGGTATTTCCAAATATTACAAATGTTTGAAAAATAAGTTGCTTTGGAAAATCTATGAAGAGGAAGCTTCAGAGCTGAAATTTTACAGAGCAGGATTTTCAAGGGTATCTTTTGTTTATTTGTTTGCAAAGGAATTTAAAACTGTATTGTTTGGCAGCCTGCCTGCCGAGCATCTGAAGGAGTGTGCATCTTGCAGAGATCAAAGTGGCCCAAAGCAGGGAGAGCAAAGGTCAGAAAAGATGAGCTTGAAAGGATTTGTCCTCTCTCCAGGCTGCAGTTTTGTACATAACCCCCACCCCCACCCCCACCCCCACCACCACCACTCACAGCGCGGCCAGCTGAGGCCCCGAGAGGAAGTCGTAAGATGTTACAACTTCAGGTTAAGTTACTAGAAAGTGTTTAAGTCCTAACCTGCAGTGGTGTGGGACACGGTCCTGTGATAATGTGTGGGAGCGGGGACCCGGGGTGGAGCAGCTCTGGGGAAGGGCGGGGGGGTGGGGGGGTGGCCACGGTCCTCAGGAGCCAGCAGACCCCAGGCTCGGGTGTCCAGGTCCTTTCTCTGTGACCTCAGAGCTTCTCTTTTGTAAATTGGGGCTGAAAATTACTCTGCCGTTACTGGAAGTAATGCTGGTCGGTTGTGTGCCAGGCATAGGGTCCATGTTTGGTAAACAGCACCTTCATTATATTATGGTAGTAAAGGAACTATAAGAGTTGCCTGGTTTCAGACAGTGTCCCAGCAAAGAGAGACATCTGAGCAGTGGCAGGAGCATTTCTGCTTTAGTTTTAGTCCAGTGGGTTCAGTTGCTGTAACCACAGGAAGTGTCAATGAGGTTATCTTGGAGGCCTCAAGCCATCATTTGGGAACTGTGGGACCTCTTTCTGCTAAGAATCGTGGCTTTACGTGCCCTCTGCTCTGGGCAGGAGAGTCTCCTTCTCGCTGTCCAAGCTCTTCTTGGATGGAGGCACTCAGCAGAGGAGACCTGAGCCGGCTGGCACGTGGCTGTTCCCATCCTGACTAACCTGTTCTCTCCCCACCCAGAGAAGCCCACATCCACTACCCATTTTCCACTGTATAAAACTGTGCCTGATGGTAGAAATCAGTTACGTGGGGAGCCATGTTTCTGCCTTTGGGTTGTCACCCTTTCAAGCATGGCTCTGTTGTTAACCAGGGTAGAAAATCATAAACCTCTGACCTTTGCTATAGCCATCATGTTTTGTACACACTCATCCATGCGAGGGAACCACTTAGCCTGTCTGTGGAAACTACAGTAGGCTCGTGGAGTCTGTGGGCCCCTAAGAGCTCCACTCACAGCAGCACATGTAGAGCAGTGTGTCCGTTTCTGTGCTTCTCAGACTAAGGTTGGGCCAACCAGCTTCCTTTCCTGGAAGGGTTCAAGAACTCTCTGTATCCCACATAATCACTGGGTCGTCTCAAAACGTCTGGTCCTTGATATGTGGCAGGAAGAAAGGGGAGAATAGGACCAACCAAGTCCCCTCACCTGGGAAAGTATAGATTTGTCGCCGTTTAATCCATCCCCAGAAATGGTGTATAAAACTGCCAAATGCCAGTAAATGCCCGAAGTTAGAGCTATGATCATACAATAGTTTAAAAGCCATGCTTGGTGAAATCAAAATGCTACTTCCTCAGTTTCTTCCTTTATGAGACATAAACATAAATGACCTGGTCAGTAAAAAATACATTTAAATAACACTTCTGGGTTGTCAAAGTACTTTCACATGGGTCATCTTATTTGATCTTCAGACCTAGGAATGAATGAGGTTAAGTGACTTGCCCAGGTCAAACCTCCAGGCAGGACAAGAACCTGGGTCTTCCCACATGTCACCCACCCTGGAGGGCTCCAAGCCTGGAAACAATCAAGATGTGGGGAGACTGAACAATTGAAAGTTCCAGGGTAGGAAAAATACATTTCCCCCAAATGTTTATGGGTTTGATGGGCCTTCCTGACTCGGCTCGGCCCTCATGAGGACACGGTGGAGTGTTATGAGGCACTTGAAAAATCAAAGGACGTCTTCAGCTGTCCTGCCCAGCCCCATCGCCCCAGAGCAGCGAGGAAGTGTTGGGCTGCAGAGAGATGCCACCGAGGCTCCTGCAGGAAATCCACAACCGTTTTCAGAAAGAGTGGCTTTTGGAAAAACTCTGTTTAGCCTGCAGAGTTGGCATCAGGCTTGCCCGCATTTACCAGATCCGTTCCCCAGATGCCCCCACTTTCTACTACCCCTGGAGCCTGCTGAGAGAGGATGTGAGCTCCATGTCACAGCTAGATGGCACGTCCCCTCCCAGATGGGACTTCTCCCTGGGGAATACCTAAGGCAGGATGTCAGAACTCGCTTCTCTGGCCCGACTTATGAAGCGCTGCTGGATTTCCCAGCAGCCACAACTGTCTTGACAGCCGCTCTCGGGACGCCATTCAGAATCCCGACCACGTAGGCCTCCGCCAGGTGAGTCGGGACGGTTTCCCAAGTGAATGAGTGATGAGCTGGGCACCGAGAAGGTGCTTACACACAGCCCGTCTGATGCTGCCCTCAGCCATCAGCACCTTGCTTGGCAGTTAGAAGGGAATTTGGGAACAACAGATGTGCTTCCTTCTCAGTTTGGTCATCTGTCGTGGTCAAAACAAGCAAGCCTCAAGCCAGGGTTCCTAATACATTCTGTGGGGTTCGTTTGTCCCTGGAACGTGAGCTGTGGAGCGGTGTCCCAGCCCAGGCCTGTGCCTCTGCTATTGCGATTAAAAAAAAAAAATGTTCAGAATAAAATTACAACATGTGATTAGGCAGCACCAAAATAGCCACACAGGCAGAACATTCATAGATAGCGACCCGGTGAGTTTTGCCCAAGGCTAGGGAGCAAGTCACAGAAGAGGTGAGGGAGGGTCTCTTAGTCCCCTTGCTTCAGAGAGCAAGCCCTTCTCTTCCAGCAAAGGGTAGGAAAGGAAGTACGTCTGGGACTTCCCTGGTGGTCCAGTGGTTAGGACTCCATGCTTCCCCTGCAGGGGGCACGGGTTCAATCCCTGGTCAGAGAACTAAGATCCGCATGCCACGCAGCGTGACCAACAAAAAAGAGGAAAGGAAGCACATCCGGCTTCTGCCCCGCCCAGCACACGAGGGGGGGTCCAGGGAAGCACCCCTTCCCTCCCTGCCTCACTTCATCACATCACAGCCGGCTCCATGTGGCTGCCCTCCCCGTGGGCCTGGTGCCAGCGGACAAGTTTGGGAATCAGTCGCTGCTAACTAAAGCCTCAGAGCAGAGTTGGAGTGTATGGCAGTAAATAATTTACCAGTTGTGGGATTTAGCGGAATTACACTGCCTGAGAGACCCTCTGAAGCCCTGGGAGAGCGGCCTCTCAGGCTCAGCTGCAGACGCGGGCCGGGCTGCCGGTCTCTCACGCACCTGGGGCCCAGGGAGGTGTCAGTGTGTGTGACAGGCCAGCCTCCCGCCCGGGGCCTGATACTGGCCCAGGGCATGCGCTCCCGCAGCTCCTTCGCTACCTCTTAGCATCTAACGCCTTGTCACAGGGTTCGGGCTTTCCACTTCGGGGGCTGCCTGAAGAATTTATCAACGTTTATCCAGCAGAGCCTTCACCGTGGCTGGTGGCTAGAGAAAGTGGAAGATCAAAGGGGAGTTCCACTGTGATACAGGTTTGCACTTAGGCAGACCCAAGTCAGAGCCTTGTGTGGATTATCACGGCTCTATGCCCCTTGTGCTGGTCAGGCCTGACACATTAAAGGAAAATGGGAGATTTTCACCTGCCCCCCAACTCTATTTTAATACTGTTAACGGCAATCTGCCCTTCAGAGAAGACATTTCTACCAGAAATACAGGCAATAACTTTATTGGTGAATTTGTAATTATTTACCCCACCTTTTCTACTCTTAAGCATGGAGATCTTTCACAGAAATCAGAAAGTGAAATCGCAAAGTCTGTGTCCTTTGATTTGATGCTATTCACTTTGAACTGTCTGCTATGAAATGATTTGAAGAGAAGACCCCAGGGTTCTTGCCTCTCCCAGTGCAGCCGGTTCCGTTAATACTTCCCAGCTGCCCTGACTTCTGACCTCATAGACAGAGAGCAGAACATCAGATTCCTCAGACTGAAAACACGAGGCGAGCTCCCAGCCCAAGCACCAAGACTGGGTGTCTTGAGGGGGTGCTGAGACTGCCATCCCTTGGCCCCTGATAGCCAAGGTGGCCCAGGCCAGCTGTGAGCAGCTTCTTCCGCTTCCCTCATCATTTCTTTAAGAGGTTTGGGAAGCGGTGGTCTAGGCTGGGAAACAGACCTGTCGCCTCAGGTCATTCTTAATCTGTCAGTACGTGAACTTAAATGGCTCTGTCAAAATTTAGAGGAGTGGAATCCATGAAGAACATTGCCTTTACAACTGACCCAAAGGAACTGGCCTTTCATTTTACTGGATTTCGTTCAATGGAATATTACTTGAAATTAGCAGGTCATTAACTGAGAACTGGAAATCTCCCTTTACCCAGGAGACTTTGAATTAGTGGCATTTGGAATAATGGGATTTGACATGTATTAAAATTTCTACCAGGGGACTGTGCATTTTCATTAATCCTAGCAGGTCTGAGCTGAAAACAGAGAATTCTGTCAAGAATTGTAATGAAATTTCTTCCTCTTACTGGGTTAGGGAACCCTTCACTCTGACATGGCAAAAAATCTGGACTGTTGGGGCCTTTAGTCGAACTCATCCCTGGTCCCTCAAGGTAAGAGGAGCAAGGAGGGGACCCACAGAGGCTGAGGGATTCGCCCTCCAGCTCTGAGCATGGCCTGGCTGCCCTGTGGGAAAGCCGTTAGAGCAAAGAGCCATGAGCGCAGGGTTTGTAGCTGTTCTCAAGTGAACAGTAAGTGGCCAAACCTCAGCTGAAGTGAGAGAAAAGGAAATTTTTCCAAGACTGGCAAAGGAAAGAGCTTGTTTTATAAACAGGATCAGTGAATAGCTTGGTGGTTAAGAGCGAGGCTGTGACTCTGACTCCCTGGACTCCAATCCTGGCTCAAGCACAGGGCAGCTGTGTGACCTTGGGAAAAACTCCTTAACCTCCCTGTGCCTCGGTGGCCTTGTCTAGGAACTGAGGATAAAAGCCATGCCTGATTCCCTAGTATTGTGACAATTAATGATCTCCTACAAGTAAGCTCTTAGCACATAGTAAGTACTCAAAACGGATTTGCTATAGTAGCAATAATAACTATATCAATTACTCTTATTATTATATAATTATTAACATATTAACATTACATTACTATTAAATAATTGCCCTTATTCTTACTAAAAGAGAGAACAAGGAAAGGGGCTGGCCCTTTTCAGTTTTTTCATCCTCTTGATTCAGTGAAACTGTATTAGGCTCACTCTCCTCCTAAGGAATTGTTAGCTCCTGTCCCTAAACTGTGTTGCCTGATTCCTGGAGAAAGATGTGTGGGTGTCACTTGGGAATAGTCTGGCATGTTTATTAAATTCAAAACTGAACTTCACAGGTCCTGACTATGTTGGGCCAAACCCAGTCTGAACATTGTGTTTTGATGAAGATAATAAATGTCTAACACATCCTCAATGTACTTAGATAAATGGTAAACAAATGCATAGTAAAGAGCTTTATAATGAGGGTGGGGTTTCATTTTCAATCCAAACAAAACTGTGTTCCAGATTGAAGGTTTTCACTTCCTCAGGATTTTATGCATCAGTCCTTACCCGGGGCTTCTGTTGTTTTTCAGGTGCAATTGCTGGTATAGTTGATCAGCCAATGCAGAACTTCCAGAAAACATCGGAGGCTCATGGTTCAGCAGGACACAAGGCCAAGGGCGTTATCTCCGGCGTGGGGAAAGGAATCATGGGGGTGTTCACGAAGCCTATTGGAGGGGCTGCTGAGCTCGTGTCACAGACTGGCTATGGTGAGTCCTGGAGAACCGGCCAACTCAGACATCACCGATAAATTTGCGTTATTATACCAAGGTTTCCCTAAGATAACCTAGCCCCTCACATGACAGAGGAGTGAAAAATAAGATAGATAAATCTATAAATAAACAGTCCTTTTTCTTACTTCTTTATGCTTATTTACACAAAGAGTTGAATTGGACTATGACTAATAAATTACGATTATAAAGCCAGGAAGTCAATTAATAATTTCAGTCTATATAGGTCACAGAATCTTTTTACAGTCATTTAATAAAATCGACTTTAATGAAAAGTAACCAGTTAGAGGTTGAGGGCAATAAATACAATATACTGAAGCAGAAAGTAGACTTACTTTTTCTGGTGAGCAATTTGAAAGAAAAAAATAAGTTATAAAGCAGGAAGATATCTTTAAAAGACAATGCGTCTGTATTTGGAGAAAGAGAGAGGAGCATGCGTGCATTGGTGGGTGCGTGCACATTTGCCCATGCAGCCTGGCGTCAGGCATGGCTTTCTCACCAGCAACTGTGCTGCTCTTGCAGCCAGGCCCAGTCTCCTGGCCAGTGTCAACAAAGGTGCATGATCTGCCACTGAAAACCCTTCCCTGAGCAGACAGGTGCGGAGAACTTGGACTCATGGAACTACTGCTTTAGGCTGGTGCCAGGCCTCTCCACGCACACACGTGCGCGCAGGAGCAGTGGATGCGTGGGAGAGGAAGTGCCTCCTCCTGTGCTAATTTTCTGCATTCTTGGCAGAGCACATTAAAGTGACTTTACAGAACTAGGCAACTGGAATTGTTACCTTTTTCTTTTTTTTGGCCGGACCTCGCGTCTTGCAGAATCTTAGTTCCCCGACCAGGGATTGAACACATGGCCCTCGGCAGTGAAAGTGCAGAGTCCTAACCACTGGACCGCCAGGGACCCTGGAATTGTTAACCTTTTTACCTAAAATCGGTATCATCATTTTGGTCATGAAGTGGCTGGCTGGCTGGAACCACAAACTACGGGCAGGAGCTTTGCATCTGTATCTGCATCTGGCCATAAAGTCTGCAGGGTGCATTTGACTGTGGCCTCCTGCGCCTCACTAGGTCTGACAAGAGACAGCCCAGATTAGGGCATAAAACCCGTGTCTGAAAGGAAGAGAGATAGTTGCCCACACTCAGGCAACCATCCGGAGAGGCTCCTTTAAGAGACCACACAGACAGGAACATGTGTTCCTCTCGCTCTTCCCCTCACCTCCTCCCCCTCAAGTTCGGTCTCTCACTCCTTCTGTGAATGACATTTTCACTCACGGGGAAACTGACAAAAAGAACTACTGCAAATTATAACTGGACAAAGTTAAATGCTCCCTTATCAAATACTTAACACGTTAATAAAAACAGTATTCCTTTTTGCTACAGACTGCAGTGAGGTAAAGTCAACTTATACTTCATAAATTTCTCTGGTCTTGAAAATGCCATTGTCCCTCACTGTGTTTCCCAAGGCTGAGGAACTCTCCCTTATGGAAGAGCACCTCAGAACAGAGCTTCACGTGGGCCTTGCTGGTTTCCATCATTCCTGTAAAACTTTTATTACTGCACTGAAGGTTTTACAAACCACTAACTCTTAGTCTAATGACTGTGCCTCGTTTATAAACATTTACAAGCCCTCAGAAAGCACACATGCTGTACCATCTCTGGTTCTGAAGAGTCTCTTTGGAGGACTGCATGGCTGCTGCTGGGTACCCTCGTTCGGTGCTGGCACCAGGGAGAGCATGTAATAAACCAGAGGCCCCAAGAGCACTCATAAATGTATATGGATTCATGTTTAACAGCTGGATTAAGTCACTTAAATACTGTATCTAGGCAAACCATGTGCCTTTGTTGTTTTCTATTTCACCAGCCACAGCCCAGATACAGAAGTATTGTAATATTCAGCAAGGAAGTCAACTAACAATCTTGACTTTGTGTCACATAAATTGTAAATGATGTGTAAGCTATTGCTCCAGACTGATTACTCCCAGGAGCATTATGCATCCTCTAATTGCCAGTCTATGCTTGGACTGTAGCTCATTCATATTTCAGTTTGCAGCTAATATAAGGTCACCAGGGTTAAGAGCATTGCAATGTTTAATGATTATCTATATACTTGATTCCAAAGATGTGACATCATTTTGGATCTGTAGCATTTTATGGGTGGCTTTAAGCAGATGACATCACTGTAGCATGAAACTGTTTTCCAGAAAACAGCTAGTAAAACTCCCTTACTTCTCTTACCACAGGTATTTTACACGGAGCTGGACTTTCTCAGCTTCCCAAACAGCGCTATCAGCCAAGTGATCTGCATGCTGACCAAGCTCCAAACAGCCACGTCAAATACGTCTGGTAAAATTATCTAGACACTTGTTCAACTATACACGTGCACTGTATGTTATTAACAGGGCCTGGCTTGCTCTCAAGCTAACGGGACACACTTCCAGGGGAGCCCAAGAGGAGCAGCTGTTTTCGGGGAAAGGCTGCCATCCACAGATCTGGGCTGGCAGCAGGACGCCCCTGCCCCACACACACGTCCCACTCAGGGAAGGATGCGCACTGGCAGAGGTGCCCGGGCCTGCAAGAGGGCCTGAGATTCTCTATGGAGCCAGTATTCTAATTAGGGGTGACATTTCTAATGGGAAGAAAAGGAATTGCCAAAGCCAAGGGATATCTTTGTCTCCAGGAGGAGCTGGGTTCTGTTGACCAGAATCAGAATTAAAGTGACAATTACATTTTAAACTGAAATAAATAATCAGATTGGTGAGGGCCTTTGCCTTGGTACAAACAGTGAGCCCTGATAAGTGACCATCTTTTCTAAGCTGGCTTTGGCCTCATTTTTCTCCTTTGAAACAGGAAAATGCTTCAGTCTCTGGGCAGACCAGAAGTCCACATGGCCCTGGATGTGGTTCTGGTGAGGGGCTCGGGCCAGGAGCACGAAGGGTGCTTGCTGCTGACGTCAGAAGTGCTCTTCGTGGTGAGCGTCAGCGAGGACACCCAGCAGCAGGCCTTCCCTGTCACGGAGATCGACTGTGCGCAGGACAGCAAGCAAAGCAACCTGCTCATCGTGCAGCTTAAGCAGCCAAGAGTGGCCTGTGACGTAGAGGTACATTTCGGAAAACAGGGTGACCAGGGTTAGCTGCCGGCAAAGTTGAGACACAGGGTGACCGCAGGTACCAGGCATTTATGAGCCAGCAGCGTCTGGAGTGGATGCTGGAGACCAGGAGGGCTGCCAGGGGAAGGGGTGTGGGCAGCAAGGAGGCTGATGGACTCGGAGCTGGGGCTAAGCCACCATAGGAATTGAAGGTTGGCTGTCATGGAGCTGGGGTGCTGGAGCTCCAAAACAAGCAGGTCTGAAGAAGGGCCAGGACCAAGGCAGCAATTCTATGCAAATACTCCATGAAGGAGGCCTCTTGGTCTGAGCACAGAGCAGGCCCAAGTCTGCACGTGGCCCGGGAGTGACTGCAGCAGGTCACTTTAGCAGGGACAGGAGAGGACCACCATAAAAGTGAGGGGTGTCATGAGGGAAACAAGGCACAAGCAGTAGGCCCGACCTTTGCAAGCTCACAAACCAGGAGGCCTGACTCACTCCCCTCCCTCATTCCCAACTCCTCAGAGTTCAGGGTCAAAATTTTGTCAACTCCCTCCCATCCCCTGCTCTATATTGTGTGGCTCTGTGTTCCCTTTCCAATAGGACGCTTTCCCATCCCCTAAGTACCACAAGGTGCCTCCTGGGGGTGCTGCTCAGGCTCTTGGGGCAGCTCCCTGGCCACACAGCTCCTGAGATGTGCTGGCTGCTGGCTCCACATAAGTTGATGTAGAATGGATGTTCAGGTGGGGCATTCTGGGTGTCAGGGGTCAGAGGTGAGCAGCAGTGCCGCCCGGGGTGAGCAGGTGCACCCACTGCAAAACTGCTCTGCCTCTGCCCTCCCTGCTGACTGCCTGATCCATGGGGCCCCGAGACTTGACCTCAGACACAGACATCTTTTTTTTCCCCACACAGCTTGATGGGGATGGATCAGAGGCAAGGTGTAGCCTGCCTAACTTAGGGTCTGAGTAGCCCCAAGAAAAGGACAGTAAACCTGCCTCCAGCAGGTCCGGCCTGATTCCTTCTTTCATTATTTTCCTCCTGGTATGGGAGCCTGCGTCTCCCTCACACCACTGTTTGCGTAAAATTATTTGAGAAGATGGAAGGTAGCCAACCACAACAACTCTGAGATTTCTCTAGTTTCTTGGATCGTAATCAGTCAGGCTTTAAGCTGGGGCTTGGCACTAAGACTACATTGCTGGTTCGAGTTGATGACTTTCTGGGAATAAACAGAGGTCAGATGTCCAGCCTGACTTTATTAGATCTGCCAAAATCTTCTGATCCAGATGACAATAAAGCAGCAGTGATCTGGCTACAGGCCTTGGCAGGGGATAGTATCATTATCTTCAAGTCCTTGGTTCTTAACGAGAAGCTCCCAAAGCCCTGAGGAATATCTGTGACCATTGTTATTCCTTCGTTGCTTGGGAAATATTTCAGATCTTAAACTATTGAGACTAGAGAATCATCTTTAGCTGTTAAACTGTCTTCAACTGTGATCCTTCTCTTTGGCTTTTCTGCTTGAGGAGGGGGTACTGTGGGGAATTACAGCTGGAGGGGAACAGACCTCAGTTTCTCCAGGGGTTACCGAGATGACAGGTGGAGTCACCCCTCCCCACCCCCAGAAGTTGCCATGGCTAATTGAGACCATGGGATCAGTGAGTTAGAGGCAGAAGCACTAACACTCCGGACACCATGGTCACCACTCGTTTTCCATTGGTGTTCGGTGATAACAGGGTCGGGGTGAAGGGGTGGCTGAAACAGGCAGGAAGAGATGACAGAGCAGGAATACTGCAGGTTAGCTACTGAGCTTACACAGCAGCACCTGGCACTGGGCAGACCTGGGCAAACTGGTAGATACCAAGCATGCTTTCAGCCTCCAAATTGCACTTTCTCACTGTCTGTTTCCTTTACCTCTAAACCCCAACTCCTTATTAACAAAAAGTAATTGCCCAGTTAATCCTGTGTCCAAACCCTAACCTCCTCCCTCACCCCAATGGAGAGCCAAGCTGCAGAACAAAATGGTCTTTTTTTTTTTTGAGAGAGATAGTAGACCCTTCCTTAACAGTGCTATATATAATCCAGTGTATTTTCAAAATGGGAGTAGGGGAGTCACTCAGCAGTGCTGCCTGACAGTGCATTTTCCTCAGTGGCCATACCTAACCTAATCCACAGATATTAAGCTGGGCTGGGAAGCCTACCCATTATCTTCCAGTGAAAACTAAAGAATAGTATTTTAAAATCTTTACGTGAAATGGCTTTTCTGGGATTTTTGCTCTAGATGCTAGGAAACACAGCTCCTTTGAATTTTGGAAGGAATTAATTTGTAGATGACATCATTCGGTATATTCAAATATGGCAGGATTTTTTTAAAAACCAGCATTTGCTTTTCTTAGTTAAATGCAGCCATTTTTAGGGTAATAATTGCTTAATATGCCTGGCACATTATTGAAATCCCTTATGAGAGGCTCACAATGAGTCAGAAGGTCAATTTATTCCTTGGCCATGTTCCTTTCACAACACGGGTTTTCCTGTGCTGCTGTTCAGGAGGAGCAATTAAGACTCTTGTGTATTCAGAGCTTTCCAGCTGAATCCTGACCCCATCAAATGATATCATCAGAGCTCTGGCTTTTGCCTGGTGGTGCACAGCTTTCATCTGTCAGTGAATCTTTGGGGGCCTTTCTTTCCCAAGCTTAAAAATATGAGACTGAACTCTAATGGATGCCCTACTTATTCCTTATTTCTCTGGCAGGCAGACCTCTCTCTTTATCATCCCACTGGCTTTCTGCAGCTTTTAAGACACCCTTGGCTGCATCGTCTCTGTGCCCTACACAGAAATATATAAATTCTTTACTACTATTTCAAAACCTAAAAAGCCCTCATTAAAATGTTTATAATTCTCCCAGAGTGGTCTTCCCAACCTGGGAAGTGGCTACCTGATCCCCACAGGTCAGTGGCTTATACTGGAGACTTCCCACTCCACTCGATTTACACAGTAGATAGCTACAGCATTTCAGGATGGGAGGAATTTATAGCTCCACTTGCCTTTGATGGGTACTTTCTCAGAGAATCTCTCTTAAGAACTTAGGTAGTATATCTCAGTTCTCCTATTTGAGTTCCACTGAAGATGAGCCAGACTTTTATGAACCATAAATGTACTTTGCATCCTCCCTCTTTTCCATAAAAATTTCCCCTTCCTCTGCCCAGTTTATTTTCTCTGGCTTTAAATCCTAGTATTTATAAAAGCAGAAAATGTTACAGTTCAAAAGGTATTTGTTTTTCTAATGCTCTGTCCAAAGCCACTGGGTTTGAAAGAGGTAAAGAGGTTCTGTCTGGAGAGGTTTGCGGAGACAAGCAAACAGAGCTTTTATCTCAGAGTTTAACGTTGATTAGATTCAAGCAGAGGAAAGACTTTTCTCCTTTGTTCCTGGACTAGGCTAGTAAAGAGCCAGTGACAGATGTTTTGAGAGTTAATGAGTAAAATATTCTGAAATCGTCAACTTCAAACAAACATGGGAGTTTTACACAACACCAAATGCTTATTCGGTGGCTTTATTAGATAACCTAAAAGGCACAACATCCAATGTCTCAAGGCAAGAGAAGGAATGATTTTGTTATGGAAGTCTCCTTATGAGTGTTTGTTTGGCAACTAAAAAAATCTTTTTTTGGAACCCAGGTGGATGGAGTTCGAGAGAGACTATCAGAGCAACAGTATAACAGACTTGTGGACTATATCACAAAGACATCTTGTCACCTGGCCCCCAGCTGCTCTTCCATGCAGACACTATGCCCTGTGGTGACTGTGGAACCTCTCCCTTCCACTGTGAAAACATACCATTATATGGTTGAGCCACACTTTGGCCAAGTCTTCATCAGTAAATTTACCATGGTGAAAAATAAAGCCCTGAGGAAAGGGTTCCCTTGAGTCCCCTCTGAGGTGTTGATTCCTGCTTGTGCAATTTATTGCTGAAAAAGAAACCTAATGAGCGCTAACAACATCTAATGTGGACAAAACCCACTGTTCTATATAGTTGTTATAGTAATTTCCTAGCCTCTTCCAAAACTAATTCAGGTTCTTCCTTTTTCCCAAAACTAAGATACTTCAAAATTGAGTCACTGATTGATTAAAAAACCTATTCTTTTCCCATTTGGGGACAATGAACAGAATCCTATTATTAATCTTATCACGTGCAGAAAATCCTTTTTGCTGTTTGCTAACATTTCAACTATAATTAGGCTCTGTTAACTCTAACACAAAACATGGTCAGGCCTCGGAAACAACAGATTAAAACTTCATCCCCAGTTGCATCTGTTTTTAGGCTGAGACAACTGCCTAATACCCTCATCTGCAGAGGTTCAGATTCTTTGTATGAAATTAAATGCTTAGGAGCTTACTGTTTAACTTGTTAATAAATTTGTTACTTAAATGTGATGCTGTTTCTTTAAGTGAATACATTCCTAAACCTTTATGGAAATTTACAAAACATTCTGATGACTGTCCAGGTACATTTTTGGAAAAAACGTTTTTCTAGTTTGTTTTACTAGGCAAGCTTAGAGAATCTTTTGTCTACTGATAAAAACAGACCCCAGGTGCTCAGGTGAGTTTCTTAAGCAAAACACTACTGGGGAACTCCCACTACTGGATATTCTTGTGGAAGGACTCACCCTGATGCACTGACTGACAGACTCAAGAACCCAAACATTAACCTGAATAATAGTTTATTTTGCTGACTTGGCTTGATCAAGCATAAAGATATCCCCAGTAACTGACACTCTTTTGTATTTAAAGATGGATTTGGCTTAAGATCCTGGGTCACCAGGTACCACCTTTAATATTCAGTAAAAATTTGATACTCCAATTAAAACATTTTTACTCATTACATCCAAACTTGGGCCTACAACCTGATACCTACAATTGGGAGATGCTAAGAAAATTCAGTTTCAAATGCCCACTTTTAACTTTCTTTAAACTTAATAAGCCTCACATGTTATTGGGCATAAGGAGTCACTGCATACTTGTTTGCTGTTAATGGAAATTCAGGCTGAATATGGAAAACATGGTTCCATCATTTGCTGTAATCATACTCATTTAGGAAAGTTTTGTCAACCTCGAGTAACTATTTTTAAGATTGTAAATATGTATTAAGTCGTATGGTAATTTTGCATACTACTTTAAGAATTGTTATATGATATTGTTTAAAATAAAAGGAATCCTTGAATTACTGATAACACATAAATGTGGGTTCTTAAAATGCAGCTTTTCACTGATACTTGGGTTTATTACAGTTTACATCATTGGAACTCAGGAATTTTGCATGAGTTAAAAAGAAAATTTTTGTTAACATAATAAAAGAACTGGTGATTAAATTAGCTGTGGCTAAAATACACTTAATTCTTAAAGCTCTCTGTAGTATCACTTTGATCACAACAAAGCCACAATTATTAAAGGGGAGAAAGGTCCTAAGACCTCCCTGAGAAAATGTTATTACCACACTTTAAATTAGCAGACATTACTCAATTGCAATTCCAATTAAATAACACAACTTTTTCTAGACTAGATGTATATTCCATATTGTACAGTTAGGTCTTCAATAATGTAATACTGAGTAAAAAACCTTAAATTTTAATTACCTACTATTACATCTGTCCAGTGGTTGGATCCAGTAGGGCAATTCAGTGACAATGAAGTCCAAAGACGTTTTATTGGAAAGGCAAGTCTCTGTTCCTTTTAAGAGCCCACAGTATAGTAGTCATGTAGGCTCATGCAGACCCCTTAAACCCATGGCCCAGGCAGTTACCTCAGTGAAATGGACAAAATGTGAGGAATCAAAAATGTCCTAAAACAATGAAAATTTTAAAAAATATTGAAATCAGGTTATCGTCGTAAGATTCATAAAGTTAAAAATCCCTGACCAATTCTAATGCAAGTACCCTGAACTGTAAGTATCAGCAAGAGTAACTGCACAAAAATTTAGTGTCCACAGTATTTGTTAATCGTTTATTTATCATGAGAAACTATTCCTTAGCCCAGATATTAGTAGTTCATAGTGCAGGAACACAGGTAAGTGACACACTTCCATGGAACTCAACCCAAAGAAATTCTGTGGAGAAAAACAGAGTGGCCAAGTTAATGACAATCGTTCTCTTAATAGCTCACCACCCTGGAGAACCCCTGAGGTCTACTGCTACCAGTGGAAGCCACACTTTGATCACTCACCCTTAGCCCAGCAGCAGCCCTGTTCAGGCTGCCTGGGCTCCAGGTCCATTCTCCCCCATGCTCCCTAACCTCCCTGACCAGCCTCTTTTCCATTTGGGACATTCACACCTTACTTTGGGGTTTTCGCTTTTATTTACCAAATTCTGCTTTTTTTCTTCAAGTCCACCCCACTCTGTTCCCTTCTCATACCTGTACTGTTCTTAAAAACCAGTAGCCCATCTGTCCTAAACATTTCTATTCCTATCTCCAAATCTGTTCCTTTTTCTTGTTGTTTTTTAAACAATCAACTTCTTGTAAGTAAAAGGTAAAAAAAAATATTTTAAAAAATCAGCCTGTTAACATCTGATTATGAAATGCATACCCACTGTGGAAGTTTTGAAAATCTCAAAGGTACAAGAAAACAGCAATGTTAAGATTCCACACACAACCACTAATATTTTCTTGATCTTTTTACCTTCAGCCTTTTTTTCTGTGCACTCTTTAACATAGATCACCCTTTACAAAATACATTCTTAGTTTTCTATTCTACTAATTTCTGTTACTTTGTGATTACCAACTCTAAGGGACATAATAGTCCATGATATGAATGTCATAAATTCCTTATCAATTTTCCAACCACTGGGAATAAAGTTGTTTTTCTACTATTATGTATTATATATATTAAACTGTGGCATGTATCTATCTGACCCAGATACCTCCTTAATATAAACTATAGAAATGGAATGTAATAGAATTGAATCTTATATTAAGCAAAAGTTATTCATAGTCAAAATTATCCTTAAATCTTTTAGAAAACTGATCTGAGTCCAGTACAGCAGGTCTCCCCCACACCCCAGATCTTGGGAAAGATCACACACACACACTCTCACACATACATACACATGGCAGTTGGAATGCTCCTTCAGGAACAGTCTGCCTGAAAAAAAAAATAGCACATTCACATTCCCCTTGTCACAGCAAACTCACACTGGGGTGGTAGACAGGATCTTTAACTCTACTTGAATTGTTCTACCTTACTATTTTGTTGAGCTTGAATGAAGTTAAATACATGAATTACAAGACTCCATAGTACAAACAGTTTCATCAGGTACTGGACACATGCTTTCAAGTCAATTTAACAGATGACCTTTCATCAGCACACAAGCCAGTCCTCTTCTAGACACAGAACCGTAATCACACTATCCATAAGGCAGTGGACCTTAACCACCCAAACCAGAATCTCTGGAAAGCCACCAAGTCACCTACGGACATCCAAATAACAAACTATAAAAGGTGTCCAAAACTTGTTTTTTAAAGCACTTCTAAAAATGTGATTTTCCTGATGCAAATCTAGCAGTAATAGCACAACATGCAAAATGATTCTGAACATAAAATTAACTTCATGTCAGCAAGATGGTGCAATAACGAAGCTCCATACCCCTACTCCCTGAGAGAAAAAGCAAAGACACATGGACCAAAGTGTCTTTGTGAGAACTGCAGAAATCAATTAAGCTGCAACAACCAAGCAAACACCTAATATGAAAAAGCTGCACTCAAAATGGCAGGAAATGTCATGCACTTTTTTCTCACCCTTGCCCCACCCCCTTCTCAATGCAGGAGTGTGGTCAGGAGGAAAGTGACCAATTCCTGACTCCTCCTTCAGGGCAGAAGGAAAAGAGAAGACCCTGCATGCAATGTTCTAGCTTATTTGAGGGCTTCCCAAGGGACTGCTTCTATCTTTATCTCAGAGCACTGATGAGAATGGTGACAGAGTTTAACTGACTTATGAGACACCACCAAAAAAACCAACCTATGTACTCTGAAAGTGCGAGAAGGGGCAGAGAGTTTATTTGAAGAAATAATGGCCAAAACCTTCCCAAATTTGAGGAAAGAAATGGATATATAAATACAAGATGTTACTGGAAGTCAGATGAACCCAAAGAGACCCAACACCAAGACACAGTATAATCCAACTGTCAAAAACCAAAGACAATGGATCTTGGAAGCACCAAGAAAAAAATGATTCATTGCCTACGAGGGAGCCTCTGTAAGATTATCAGTGGATTTCTCAGGAGAAACCTTGCAGGTCACAAGGATTTCAGATGGTAAATACAAAGTGCCCCCCCACACACACACACACACACAAATTACCAACCAAGAATACTATAACCAGCAAAAATGTCCTTCAAAAATCAGGAAGAAAATTAAGACATTCCTAGATTTTAAAAAAACCTAAAAGATAAGGAGTTCATTACTACTAGATCTGCAATGAGAGTTCTTCAAGTTGCAACAAAATTACACTAGACAGGGACTTCCCTGGTGGCGCAGTGGTTAAGAATCCGCCTGCCAATGCAGGGGACACGAGTTGGATCCCTGGTCCGGGAAAATCCCACATGCTGCGGACCAACTAAGCCCGTGCACCACAACTACTGAGCCTGCGCTCTAGAGCCCGCAAGCCACAACTACTGAATCCCGTGCACCTACAGCTCATGCTCCGCAACAAGAGAAGCCACTGCAATGAGAAGCCCGAGCACCGCAACACGAAGAGTAGCCCCCCCTCACCGCCACTAGAGAAAGCACATGCACAGCAACAAAGACCCAACACAGACAAAAATAAATAATAAATAATAAATAAATTACACTAGGCAGTAACTCAAAAGCCATGTGGAAATATAAAGTTCACTGGCGAAGGCAAATATATGAATAAATATAAAAGCCAGTGTTGTAACTGTTTCATATCCCCACTTTTAATTTTGTAGGATTTAGAGACAAAAGCTCTAAAAAAAAGAAATCTATGTTAATGGGTACACAATATCTAAAAATACAATTTGCGGCATTAGTAACAAAGTACGGGAGCAGAGTTGTAAAAGAGAATTTTTGTATGTGATTGAAATAAGTTGTTACCACTTCAAAATAGATTATAACAATAGGTTGGTTTAAACTCCCCAAAAGTCATAGATCTGAGGAATGGATACAAAACAAGGTCCAACTATGAGCTGTCTACAGGAGATTCACTTTAGATCCAAGGACACACATAGTTTAAAAGCTAAGGATGGAAAATGATTCCATACAAACAGCAATCAAGAGAGCACGAGTGGCTATACCATTAGCAGACAAAACAGACTTTAAGTCAAAAAATGTTACAAAGACAAAGGACATTATATAATGATTCACCAAGAAGACAGATTATAAATATCAATATATATGCACCAAACATCAGAGCTTTGAAATATATGAAGCAAATATGAAGCAAATGCTAACAGAATTGAAGGGAGAAATAGACAGATCTACAGTAATAGTGGGTGACTTAAAATACTTTCAATAATGGCTATAAGAACCAGACAGAAGATCATTAAGAAAATAAGTGGACTTGAACACTACAGACCAATCAGATATGAGACAAATACAGAACATTCTACCTAACATGAGAATACACATTTTTTTCCTCAAGTGCATATGGATTAATTTCCATGTTAGGCCATAAAACCAGACAACAGATTTTAAAATACTGAAGTCACATAAAGTATCTTTTCTGGTCACGAAAGATGAAACTAGAAATTTATACCAGAAGGAAAACAGAAAAATCCACAAATATGTTGAAATTAAACATACCCTCCAACAACCAGTGGGTCAAAGTGGATATCAGAAAAGAAATTTAGGACCTCCCTGGTGGTGCAGTGGTTAAGAATCTACCTGCCAATGCAGGGGACACAGGTTTGACCCCTGGTCCAGGAAGATCCCACATGCTGTGGAGCAACTAAGCCCATGCACCACAACTACTGAGCCCGTGCTCTAGAGCCTGTGAGCCACAGCTACTGAGCCCATGTGCTCTAGGATCCACATGCCACAACTACTGAGCCCACGTGCTGCAACTACTGAAGCCCACGCACTTAGAGCCCGTGCTCTGCAACGAGAAGCCACCGCAATGAGAAGCCCACGCACCGCAACAAAGAGTAGCCCCCACTCGCCACAAATAGAGAAAGCCCACGCGCAGCAAAAAAGACCCAATGCAGACAAAAAATAAAGAATAAAGAAATTTAAAAAGAAGATCAAGTCAACAAGCTAAGTTTACACCTTAAAAAGGTAGAAAAAGGGGCTTCCCTGGTGGCGCTGTGGTTGAGAGTCCGCCTGCCGATGCAGGGGACACAGGTTCGTGCCCTGGTCCAGGAAGATCCCACATGCCACGGAGCGGCTAGGCCCGTGAGCCGTGGCCGCTGAGCCTGCGCGCCTGGAGCCTGTGCTCCGCAAGGGGAGAGGCCGCAACAGTGAGAGGCCCGCATACCGCAAAAAAAAAGGCAGAAAAATAAAAGCAAGCTAAACGAAAGCTAGCAGGAAATAAAGATTAAACAAAACAGGGAACAGAAAAACACTAGAGATACATCAACAAAATCAAAAGAGCTGGTTATTTGCAAAGATAACCAATATAACAAACCTTTAGTCAGACTAAGAAAAAAGAAGACTCAACTAAAAACAAATTAAAGAAGGGACATTATGTCACCAAATTAGGTCACCCACATGAAATGGAATAATTCCTATAAACACACAACCTACAAGAAACAGATTAACAGACTTATAACTAAGTAAGGAGATTAAATCAGCAATCAATAACCTCCCAACAAAGAAAAGCCCAGGATCAGATGGCTTCACAGGAAAATTCTACCAAACACCTAAAGAGTTAACACCAATCCTCCTCAAGCTCTTCCAAAAAACTGAAGGGGAGTGGGGGGTGGGGAACATTTCCAAATTCACTCTATGTATTTTTTGTTTTCTATATATTTATATTAAGACAGCTTAAACATTTCTGTATGATGGAGACTGCCCCCCACCATGTTTTCCTGATCCTCTCACATGTCTCTTGTGGCCACATCTGACTCACTAACTCATTTAGGAATATAAAACATTCTATAAGACCAACATTACCCTGATATCAAAGTCAGACAAATATAACACAAGAAACTAGAGAGTAATATCCCAAATACAGATGCAAAAATCCTTCATAAAATACTAGCAAACAATTCAGCAGCTCATTAAAAGGATTACACACCATGACCAACGATGATTCAACATATGAAAATATACCACAGAGCCACATGATCTCAACTAATTCAGAAAACGCATCTGAAAATTTCAATACCTTTTCATGATTAAAAAAAATTCAAATAAAGAACAGAAAGAAACTACCTCAATAAAGGTGATACATGAGAAACCCACAGCTAATATACTCAATAGTGAAAAGCTTCTCCAGGGCTTCCCTGGTGGCGCAGTGGTTGAGAGTCTGCCTGACGATGCAGGGGACACGGGTTCGTGCCCCGGTCCAGGAAGATCCCACATGCCGCGGAGCAGCTAGGCCCGTGAGCAATGGCCGCTGAGCCTGGCCTGCGTAATGCAAAAAAAAAAAAAAAAAAAAAAAAGCTTCTCCAAGGTCAGAAAAAAAACCCAACAAGGATGCCCATTCTTACCCCTTCTCTTCAACATAGTACTGGAAGTCCTAGTCAGAGCAATTAGGGAAGAAAAAGAAATAAAAGACATCCAAATTGGAAAGGAAGAAGTAAAACTATCTCTGCAGATGACCTGATCTTATATGCAGAAATCCCAAAAAGATTTCACACACACACACACAAAAAACTGTTAGAATAAATTTGGCAAAGCTGCAGGATACAAAATCAATGCACGAAATCAGCTGTGTTTCTAGATACTAACAATGAATAATCAGAAAAGCAAATTAAGGAAACAATCCCAATTACATTAGCATTAAAAAAAAAATACAATTCTTAGGAATACACTTCACCAAGGAGGCAAAAGACTTGTATACTGAAAGATACAAAATACTGCTGAAATTAAAGAAACAAATGGAAAGACATCCTGTATTCATGTTCCCTTAACATCATATCCAAAAATTAACAGAATGGATCAAAGACCTAAAGGTAAGAGCTAATAAAACTATAAAACTTTCGCAGAAAATATAATACTTTACAACACTGGATTTGTCAATGATTTCTTAAACATGACACCAAAAGCACAGGCAACAAAAGAAAAACTACATAAATTAGACTCCATCAAAATTTCAAATGTCTGTGCATCAAAGGACACAACAGACTGAAAAGGCAATCCATAGAATGGGAGAAAATATCTAAATCATATCTGATAATGAGTTTTAAATAACTCCCACAACTCAACAAAAACAATCCAATTAAAAGTGGGCAAAGGACGTGAATAGACATTTCTCCAGAGAACATACACAAATGGCCAAAAAGCATGGGAAAAGATGCTCAACATCGTTAACCATTAGGGAAAAGCAAACGAAGACCAAAATAAAACAACACCTCACACCCATTTGGATGTCTATCAAAAAACCAGAAAACAAGTGTTCACAAGGATGTGGAGTAATTGGGACCCTTGTGAACAGAAGTTGGTGAAGTGAAAAATGGTGCAGCCACTATGTAAAATAGTATGGCGGTTCCTTAAAAAATTAAAAACAGAACTACCATATGATTTAGCAACTCCACTTCTGAGTATATACTCAAAAAAGTATTAAAGCAGGGTATCAGAGATATCTGCACACAAAGCAGTAGCATTATTCACAGTAGCCAAAAGCAATCCAAGTATCCATTAACATGATTAAACAAAATGTGGTATATAGATAAAATTGACTACTTAGATGAAAAGAGTTCTGAAGACTGGCTGTACAACAATATAAATGTACTTGACAATACTGAACTGTACACTTAAAAATAAAGACTGTATATTTTATATATATTGCCACAGTTAAAAAAGATTTTAAACAGTAATTTCAAATAACCATATTACCTTTATATTCCAAAATCACTTTGCACTCTGAAAGACACCAGCCTTCCTCATCTCCTCAAAATCTTTCATAGAATCATAATTTCTGTAGAAATCTGCATATGCCTTCTTTCTTGGTTCAGCCACAGCAAACTAAAAGGTAACATATCACATTTAGGACTTTTTTTTTTAATTATTAGAAACAGTATCTAAAGACAACATAAATCACCAAGTTTTTGTTCACCTTGAATCCTACTTATCTTGAATCGTATTATTAAGGCCCTTAAAGAGGTAATTAAGTTAAAATGAAGTCTTTAGTGTGGGTCCTAACCCAACATGACTAGCATCCTTAGAAGAGAAGAAAATTCAGACAGGAACAATGCTAACACACAGAGGACCATGTGATGAGAGGGAGAAGACAGGAATACAAAGCCAAGGAAAGAGGCCTCAGAAATCAACCCCACAGCCAACTTTTTTTTTGGCCGCGGCGCAGGGCATGCAGGATCTTATTTCCCCAACCAGGGATCGAACCAGTGCCTCCTGCAGTGGAAGCACGGAGTCTCAACCACTGGACTGCTGGGGAAGTCCCCCACAGCTATCTTGATATTGGATTTTCAGCCTTGGAAAAAAAAAAAAATCTCTATTGTGGAAGCCACCCAGTTTGTGGTATTTTGATATGGCAGCCCTAGCAAACCAAGACAGCTTCATTTAAAGATGGAGGACAAGCTACCTGGGGAATAAGGTACTTTCCTATCACACTGAGGTGGGTCAAGAAAGGGTAAGAGGAAAGGAGCACATTAAAGAGGGAATTTCTTTTAAAGACTCAAGGGACTTCCCTGGCGGTCCAGTGGTTAAGACTTCGCCTTCCAATGCAGGGGGTGCGGGTTCGATCCCTGGTTGGGGAGCTAAGATCCCACATGCCTCGTGGCCAAAAAACCAAAACATAAAACAGAAGCGGGGGCTTCCCTGGTGGCGCAGTGGTTGGGAGTCCACCTGCCGATGCAGGGGACACAAGTTCGTGCCCCGGTCTGGGAAGATCCCACATGCCGCAGAGCGGCTGGGCCCGTGAGCCATGGCCAATGAGCCTGCGCGTCCGGAGCCTGTGCTCCGCAACGGGAGAGGCCACAAGAGTGAGAAGCCCGCGTACCGAAAAAAAAAAAAAAAAAAAAAAAAAACAGAAGCGGTATTGTAACACGCTGAATAAAGAATTTTAAAATGGCCCACGTCAAAAAAAATCTTTAAAAAACAAAAGACTCTGTATGTTTCTATGAAAATAAAATACATTTTCAAATTTAAAACACATTTTTGGACCATGAGCACAAAGTAAAAATAAAACATACATACCTTATAGAAAGCTGCAACTCCCAGGGAGACAATGAATGCTCCAACAATATGAAATCGCAGACGCTTGCCCAGAAGGCCACGCATCTGAGGTTTTGTCAAAGAACTGGAAGCCATGGTAGTTTTTCTCCTTGACAGCTAAAATAATAAGAGACAACTCTTAGAACATAAAATACCTAAAGAACTCTTCTGCATAATGCATTTTAGTACTCAGAGAGGCACAGGCAGGACAGTGGACCGACTCCTCTCCCAAACCCTAAGGTCTTTACTGGCTTCGCGATTTCGTCTTCTCACACGGTGAACGACCACCCTAAATAAGCAAGATGATCGCAGCCCAACAGTAGTAACCAGGGAACAAGAACGACAAAAACCTCACCCAACTACAGGGAAGATTAGCAGCGGCTCTGGATGGGGAATCACAAGTGCAAACATTCCTAGCATTTACTCTACAAGCTTACTACCAATTCATTTCAGCCTGTGAGACAGCTGTTTTCCCATTTTATTGAGAAAACCGGGATGCAGGAAGGTTACCGGACTATTTCAAGGTCACGCAATCAAAACTAACACTCGGGCGGGACCCCAGCACGTCCCGCAGGGCCCACTTTGTGACCCGGGCCTGAAGGCCGCCGCGCGCGGGCCGGCCTCCCGACCTTCGGCGAGCGCGGCCCGGGCAGGGTCGGAAAGGTCGTGGGCGCGCGCAGGGGGCTGCCGGGAGCCCACCCCTGCCCTCCTACCACAGGCCCGGTGACCCTCCTGCAGCTTCCCAACTCCAATCACAAACGCTACCACAAAGCTGACGCCCACTAAGAGCCGACGGTGCTCCAAGCCTCGGGAACGGATAAGGAAGAAACCACCTTCCCTTTTTGTAGGTAAAGACACTGGGACCAAACAGGTCAAAAAAAGCAACCAAGGTCACGCTAAACGCGGTAAAAAAGCAGCGGCCACCGGGCCCGGGCCGGCTGTCTCAAAAGCCCGGGGGTCCCTCGAGGCCCCCTCAGCAAACCCGGCCCCCGTGGGACCCGCGCCGCCGGCCCGCCTCCCCTAAAAGGCCGCAACGCGGGCCTGCTGGGGTCGACGAGGGCGAGAGGTCCGAGGTTTTCCGCCCCAGAGATGCAGAGTAACGATTTAGCTCCAAGGTAGACCGACAGCAGGCAGCGGGAGGCGGCAAGTACGGGAATCCGAACGAGGAACACAAAACGCCCAAGACTCACCTCTACAACGACGCCCTTGGAGAAATGGACGGCGTTCCAGCAGCGCGCAGGCGCATAAATAGAGGGAACGGAGCGAGGATCCGGCTACGGTGGCCCAAAGAGTACAAAAGGCCTCCAGCGCACGTCCCGCCGTTCAGAGCTGAAGATAACCTGCGCATTTAGCCTCTTCTCTGTGTAACCTTGGATTCAGGGTTTGAACTTGTGAGTCAGTTTCCTTAGTCAAGTCGAGATATTGATCTTACTCATACACAGAGTTGATATGAACTTATTGGAGAATTCAAAGATTTTTAATATGTGAATTTTTTTTTTTAATGTACCCTACAGATACAGCACAAATCATCCTGGGCATGGATTGCTCCAACTATGTGCACAAACCAACATTTTCATTATGACTATCCTTATGCATCTAGCCACTTGTTTGGGTAAAGAGTGAATAAGACAGCCAAGTTCCAGGAACTCACAGCCCAGCAGATGAGACAGACATAAACTGAGTAACATCAATCCCAAGCAGTAGGCGCTACCGTAGACACGTGACCCTGGTGCTGCAGAAGCAATTACCTGCTTGGAAAAGCTGAGCAAGTTTGGATGGAAGTATTTGTGTGGACTTTTAGTAAAAGACAAGTGTTTTAAAGCAAGGCATGTGGAAGTTTATGGAAAGTAGTGTGTAAAGTAAGGCTCTTGTGCCTTAGGGTTGTCAGACTTGGTTTTTATTGAAATAACCTGGATTTGTACTGCATTATTCAACTCAGCAAGTACTGTGAAAGGTTCATAGGATACATGATATTGATTCAACATATATAGGTTGAGCAATTACTAGGTACCAGGCTCTGCTATTAGCAGGGAAGATCATCAAGGAGGTCACGGAGTCTTTGTCCTCATCTTGTTAACAGATGGCTCTGGGGAGTGAAACCTTTCAGCCACACAGAAATGGTGCTAATTGAAGGTCAAAGTGGACTTGTACCTCAACAACACTTTTTTTCAGACTTCTTATTGTTGTCGAAGACAAGTTCGTGTGCCTGAGAAATGGTGAGACCAAACAAACTGAGATGTCAGAGTTTAGAGCAGAGAAAGGTTTATTGCAAGGGCCAACCAAGGAGAACAGGCAGCCCGTGCTCAAAAAAACCCGAATTCTTCAATGGTTTGGGAGGAAGAGTTTTTAAGGGCAAAATTTGGGGTGAGGGCTGCAGAGTATGTGACTTTCCTGTGATTGGCTGGTGGTGAAGAAACAAGGTGGTGTTCCGGGAATCTTATGCTCAGCCTGAAGTTACGTTCCTCCAGGAACTGAGTGGGGGCCTTAGTTCCTACCGAAGAACTCAAAGACATATTATATATCTGGGAGGTGAGTCTTAGAGAGTAAATACAGACCTCAAGTAACAGAACTAGAATTTAATATCCATTGAAACATAATCTTTTTCTTTCTAAAATTACCCTCACTTTTACCAAATATAGCCGAATTAAGACTAATTTGTTTACCAAATAAGTCTGGTTAATTGGTCACATAGGGTTTTTTACACTGGCTGTACTGGAACTTTTCATAAGGAGTCTCAGACAACTTTTTTTTTTGAATTTTTGAATTTTATTTTATTGATTTTTTTATACAGCAGGTTCTTATTAATTATCTATTTTATACATATTAGTGTATATATGTCAATCCCAATCTCCCAGTTCATCACACCACCACCACCTGCCACACCACTTTCCCCCCTTGGTGTCCATATGTTTGTTCAGACAACTTTTAATAGGCCTCTCAAGGCCGGGAAAGTCATGCCAAGGACTTGCCATTAGATTCTGCCTGGGTGAACTTCTCTCCTCTAGAGTTCCCCAAAATATCAAGATTCCTGTACCTGCCAGGAGGCAGCCTTTCTTGTTCACCTGATAAGTCTGTTCAGAACCTAAGAGTTTCCGATTTCTGGATGGATCAGGTAGAGAGAAAAAATTAACGTTTTAGTTCTACTTACAGAGGGGTAATTTACCAAATTGCGTTGTCATAATTAGCATGAGGGGAAGGGTTTCCTTATATCTGGAAAACACAGATCAAAACCAATAATATTCCAGGGCTTCCCTGGTGGCGCAGTGGTTGAGAGTCCGTCTGCCGATGCAAGGGACGCGGGTTTGTGCCCCGGTCCGGGAAGATCCCACATGCCGCGGAGCGGCTGGGCCCGTGAGCCATGGCCGCTGAGCCTGCGCGTCCGGAGCCTGTGCTCCGCAACGGGAGAGGCCACAACAGTGAGAGGCCCGTGTACCGCAAAAATAATAATAATAATAAAAGAAATAAAAAACTGTTTGACTCAGGATCCAAATAAGGGCTACATGTTGCAACTGCTTGAAATGTCTTTTACTTCTATTTTAATTTATAGGTTTCCCCGTCTCTTTTTTTTAATTCTTGCAATTTATGTGATTTGTTTTGTTTTGTTTGTTTAGTGCAGTGGCTGTGTACCACTTAAAATCCTCTTGCAGTGAATTGTCCCATACCTGGGGGAACACTGACTCTCTGGTCAATAATTGTAATACACTAACGTTTTCAGCACATAGGAAACACTCATAAATATTTGTTGAGGGAGAGAAAGGAAGAGGAAGGAAGGTAGGGAGGGTTGGGAATAAGCCAGAGCTAGAGGCAATACTGGGCCCCCTCCCAGCCTAAGGGAGTCTTCATAAGGGACTCCTATGTTGGCTATCCCCACACAACTGACAATTTCCTTCCCAGATTAAGATTGTCAAGGCCTTCTCATAGCTTGCAGGTCAAGATCATGCTCCTAACATAGGGAAAGAGCAAGTTCTAGTCTGCTCCAGTCTACCTTTTCAGTTTCTTGCCCAGAGTCACCTAATAAGGAAACTAATCCATGCTCATGGTTATAAAGTTCTCTCTCTTGATAAGCCCCACTGACATCCTTCTTTCCAGAAGTAATTACTTTGACCATTTCTTTGGCTGATTAGCTTTACATTTACGAATCATAGCTATCATTATGCAATCATATGCTATCATGTGAAAGCACTAATACTATTCTATCATCATGCAATAATGTGCTATCATATTATAGAGAAGGAAAACTTTTCCTTTCTTCCCTTCTATTGGCTGGTCTAATAATTAAATTGACATAAGACAAATTAACAGGAGAAACACAAATTTAATTTCATATGTATAGGAGCTCATAAAAAATATGTGACTCAAAGAAATGACCAAAGCAGGCAGCTTTTATACCTTTTAGACAAAGACAATAAATTTGTGAAGAACTGACAAGACAAAGAAAATTGGACTTGAGGTAGTAAATTAGTGAAGTATCAATAATAAGATTTGTTTATACAGCCTTCTAGAGAGTTCTAAATCCTCTACCTCTAGTGATAAGGATGTCTCTCTAGCTCCTGCTACAGGGAGGGTGCCTTTCGCATGGGAGACTTATTTCCTGCTTTCAGAGGGATAAAGAAAAGTCAGCATGTCCTTCTTGCCCAGCTGTTTCTTGAGTAACTTTAATTCAAAATAATCAATATGCCAAAGTGGTATATTTTGGGGTGGCATATTTGGCTCCCCTTCAGTATCATAGCATAACATGCTATCAAATAAATTTCTTGATCTATCAATATAAGACATTATCTATTAACTTCCTACTATGATAGATAAGCATTGAGCTCAGTTATATCTCCTTACTACCCCTCCTCTGCTTCTCCCAGTATCACCTTCTTAGTTACTCTACTGGTTACTAATAGATAAAAAATATATATGCCTCATTCCATGTGTTGAATGCTCTTGTCCCCTCTCCCCTTTTTTCATAATGTGTGTTTTAAGTTCCTCAAGCTGATTGTCCCCATCAGTGGTAACAATGATATTCTAAATGTTTGCCCTTAGTGAAAGAAATCTAAAAAGATAAGAAAAAGAAAAATTCTCATTCTTCCCAGAGGAGATATTAAGACTTTTTGAGACAAGGTATCTTATTTATTATGCCAGATAGGGCATGGTATGACCAGAACAAACAATCAGTAGACCTTGCCATGGCCCAGGGGCTCAATGTCAGCCAGTCCTGCCTCTTCCCTGGAGGCTAGAGAAAAGCAGAAATCTTCTGCATCACAGAGCTCTTTCCTCAGAAGTGGTGACTTGATAACAGGCCCTATCTTACTTTCTTCAATGTGGAAATCTGTGTGAAAATAGATAATCCTATTCTGTTTTCTGTTACTAAAACTTTCCTTGTAAGTGATTTGTACAAACAAGTCTTAAGAACCATGATCTTTAAAGTTTATGTCCTGTGAGATGTAACCCTGACCCTTATAAGTCTGCAGTGATCATTGATTATCTTAATAAATTGGGGGACTTCCCTGGTGGCACAGTAGTTAAGAATCCACCTGCCAATGCAGGGGACATGGGTTCGAGCCCTGGTCCGGGAAGATCCCACATGCCACGGAGCGGCTGGGCCCGTGCACCGCAACTACAGAGCCTGCGTGCCACAACTACTGAAGCTCGCATGCCTAGAGTCCGTGCTCCGCAACAAGAGAAGCCACCGCAATGAGAAGCCCGCACACTGCAACGAAGAGTAACCCCCGCTCGCCGCAACTAGAGAAAGCCCGTGGGCATTAACGAAGACCCAACGCAGCCAAAAATAAATAAATTTATTAAAAAATAAAATAAAATAAATTGGGCCCTACTGCTAATACTTTAATTGATATCACTGTTTTCTGAAAGTGTAAACAACTAGGACACTTCTTTTACAGATTCCCTGCTCTTCCTTTATGCATGAAGGTAAAATTGATTCTATGTCTGTGCTGAAGTTTTATTCAAATAAAGAGTTTGAAAACTTTGTTTCACTTTAACTAAGTTGCATTAGTAACTTTAATATATTTTGACTTTTATTTCTGGGTCTATCAATTTTTAACAACATTTCTATACCCTTTTTAGATCATGATATTAATGATCCTACCCTTCCCTTCAGCTATCTTCATCCCCTCCTACCTCCCAAATCTTTTATAACCTATACTTTGGATGTGGGAAGGAATTCTGCCTGTAAGCATCTTTTGTTATTGTGATTATTAAAATTAT